CGCATCCATCTCAGCTCTTAAGATGTCCAGGCCTTTACAGGAACTTCAGATCCACGGTTAAGATTTCTGCCCATCAATGAAGGCAACATGATTCTTCAGCACGCCATATAGTGAGTTTATCTAAGGACACCCCAGTTGGTGAGTTTATCTAAGGACATCCTGGACATCCTCTCTGGTATATCTTTAATGACCCGCTAGGTCTTCTGATCGCACATATATTCCTGTAAACCTCTTAGCTCATTAATTACGACTCTCATCTGCCAAAATTCCTTTATCTGATATAGAAATATTCCTTGCTGGAAATATTCCTTGCTGCAGATATTCAGACAATACTCCTCAACTTCCTGATCAAGATTCGCGTTTTGTCTACACCGACTTTTTGGTCCATCCACTTGCTTATAAAGACTATCTGGCTCCATCTCAACTTTTGAGATTTTCTGACCTTTATCGGCGCTTGGACACCCCAGTTTGTGGTATATCTTTAATGACCCGCTAGGCCTTCTAGTCTCCCATATATTCTTTTATATCTCTCAGCTCATTCATTAGCTGCCACTTCAGCTCGTCTGCAAAAATTCCCAGGTCCTTCAGCAGGTATAAAAATATGCCGGAGCTTTAGGTCCTCGGTAAAGATTTCAACCCATCTGCAAAGACAATCTGCTCCGTCAGCACGTCATATGGTGAATATATATAAGGACACCCGTTTTTTTTAAAGAACACCCCAGCCTCTAGTATATCTATAATGACCCGCTAAGCCTTCTGATCGCGCATTTATTATTTTTAACCCCTCAGCTCATTCGTAATTTGTAGACTGTCTACACAAATGCCCTGGCCCTTCAGTAGTTAGAAAAATATATCATGGCTTTTCAAAGCGCCTATCCGGAATTTTTTACTTCATTACCTTGGCTCTTCACGACTCCCCGCCTTTCAGCTCTTCTGTATAGATCTCATGCCTCCTCAGCTCGTTCAGCTGTAAGGAATATTATAAGTTTTAAACCTTCTAAACTTTAAGATGGTCGAAAAAAATTGCTGGAACATCAGTTCGCTTGTAAAATGTCCATAAAAATCCCATAGACAAAGACTTCTGATCCTTCAGTTTATCTATAAAAACTCCCTAGCATCCAAGGATTATACTTGTCTTTTGGTATTGGGTTTCCTTTCCCGGTATTCTCAATGGAAAAGAGAGCCAAGATGAGGCGAGGAAGCTAACTATGGTCTTCCAATTTTGAAAATATTTTTAACTCTCCATTCTCCAATTTTTTCATATAAATATTTAGCATTTCCTTCACTTATAACTAGCCTTGAAAGAACAAAAATCTGCAACCATCATCCCGATGTTTTTTCATTTTTTCTGATTATTTTATAAACTCAGTTTTTTCCGACAAAGTAAAGAAAGAAAATAGCAACAACAACAACAAAGTACACTTTATGTTCAATGCTTTTGGGATATTTGAATTCGTATGAAAAGTATTGGCAATGCTATAGTTTGGTTGCTAGCTTGGCAGGACGAGGATATGAGGCCAGTAACGTCATAGTGAAGATTGTTTTATTGGACATTTCCCAGAGGCTCTTTTTGCTTCCTCGGCAAAGGCTTCCAGGGAAATGAATATGATATTGGGTGAGTGTGTGCGGAATACTACATGTATTGTGTATGTAGTTCGTGAGGTATTTGAGATGGCTAAACCAATGAGGGTATCAGAGGAGAATTCTTTTTTTTCGTCCTTTTTTGCTTAAATGGGAACAAGAACACTTGTTTTGATGTTTCAGGGTGGTATGAAGAATTTTTCAATTTAAAATCGGTGTAGTGTTTGATTACATCTTTTTCAGTCGGAATATTTTTTTATTAGCTCTATATAAGTCACTAAGGTATAGCAAATTCCGCAAAAAAAAGGTAAAATAATAGGGAACAGAAAAACTGCCATCCTTGTACCCATACGGTGGAATTTTTTAGACTTCGAATTTCTAATAGAGGTCTATATAAGGATATGGGCTTCAAATAATTTAATATAAATATCTCTCGTATTGCAGTTCAAGTTCCCTTCGGTACTCTCCTCAATTTCCCCTCTATTCCCCCACATTATTTTTCTGAGGAAAACACGCATTCTACTTAGCCCCCTATGCTATGTTCATCTCAAAACAAATTAACTGTAATTTCTACTGCAATGGACAATCATTTGTGTGAATCAATTTGGGAGGAAGAAAAACAAAACAAAAACACAGGGAGAGAGAAAGCAAAAGGAGAAGAAAAAACTAAATTCTAGGAAATACTTCATCCAAAGGACACCGAGGCGAAGTGTGAATGTGAGAAAATTATAGTAAAACACAATGTTTTAGACAAAACAGAACTAAGTTAACGACCAATGTCTAGGTGCCTGGTAGCCAACAATCCGACCGACCTCCTTACAGCCTGTCAATGCTGTCAAAGTCTTGTAAAATGTGAATCAGGACACAATACCGAATGGCGGCTATTTTAAACTGCCACTGAGCGAAAGTGTTTCTAGACAAAACAATAAAAGGGTGAATAACGGGATCGAATTCTGGGAAATAGAAAACAAAGCGAACTTCCCAATTTAAAGAAGTTTAGATGACACGCCAATGACAGTAAAGTGAGTCGTATTTGGTAAAGGAAAGGTATATTCGACTTCACGTTTAGTATGTAACAAGGAGAGACCTGGCTTGTAGAGTTGGTTTGTTCCGGAATGCACTAGTTCAAAGGAACTATTCGGCAAATGGAACAGTTGGTATTAAGTCCGATTCTTGCGTCCATTTTTTTCCTTTTGCTCCAATCGTTCCTTTTTACTCTCTATCGCTCAATTTCTTTTGTTCCGATCGTTCACCTAGATCTGCACGTTTATCGACGGAATTAACTGAACTACCAATGAACGATTTACCCTTTTGGTCAGCGAACCGAAAAAGAATACATTAAAAATGAGATTGGCCAATTCCATTGGCCTATCCTTGAGCAATACAGACACACTGACCTGCCTTCAGTTCGTATTTACGCACCCTGACCCGCCTGTAGATCACTAAACAGTCAGCTTCTCCATAGAAATATATTCACAGAACCATAAGTTTCTCCACAGAAATAGACTCACTGGCCACGTAGACATATAGCTCGGCCACGTAGACGAGCCCTTATCTTGTCTATATAGACTCTCTTGTCCACCCGGCCTGATTGTCCATAGAAATTCTTGTTTTATTTCTATAGTTCGCCTGTAGAAATTCTCTGGTCCAATGGCTCATCTAATGATGCTGTCTGGTCGTGTGGATCATTTATAGGGATACCACGACCACACAGCTCATCTATAGAAACTTCTCATACTCATATGGTCTTAAACTCACCCAAAGTTCAGTTCCTCTTCAGACCCTCTAAACTAAATCGGCTCTTTGACTCCCCGAAGAGCTATAGAAACTCCTAGAAAGATATCCACGGAAATTTCCTTCCCCGTAAGACTCCCAGAGTTTACAGCTCAACTGTATATAATCACCGGATTTTTAGCTTTCCCATACATACTCTTACCTACAAAATCTCCCTGGTCCTATAGTTTCTCTGAAAGCTCTCCTAATCTTTTAGCTATTCTAAAAAAAAACTTTTGACCTTCCGAAGCGCTGTCGAAATTCCCAGATCGGCTTTATTTCGTCTATGAAAACGTCCTGGTCTATAAAGACATATAGCATTTCGTCTCGTCTGTGACGAGTACCTGGACTTTAGCATCTATAAGGACTTCCTGAAGTTCAGATCGTCCAGAGAAACTTCCTTATCTACAGCTCTATAAATACTTCCTGAAATTCAGATCGTCTATATTGTCCTACAGAAGTTCACCTTATATGTGAAGATTACCTCAGCTTTAGTCTCTATAAGAACTTCCTACGGCCTACAATCCGTCTATAAAGACTTGAATTGCAAATTTCCTATTCAGCCAGGCTGAATTGAAGATTTCCTATAGAAATCACTATTAAGCCAGGCTGAATTAAAGATTTCAGCCAGGCTGAATTGAAGATTTCAGCCAGGCTGAATTGAAGATTTCAGCCAGGCTGAATTGAAGATTTCAGCCAGGCTGAATTGAAGATTTCCTATAGAAATCACTATTCAGCCAGGCTGAATTGAAGATTTCCTGTAGAAATCACTATTCAGCCAGGCTGAATTGAAGATTTTCTATAGAAATCACTATTCAGCCAGGCTGAATTGAAGATTTTCTATAGAAATCACTATTCAGCCAGGCTGAATTGAAGATTTCCTATAGAAATCACTATTCAGCCAGGCTGAATTGAAGATTTCCTATAGAAATCACTATTCAGCCAGGCTGAATTGAAGATTTCCTAAATAAATTTAAGAATTCCATGTGGCTTATAGCGCTACTTCAAGTCTTATATCACTACTCCCGTTACTTTATATTGCTTTTCTTTGCCTTTGGGAAGCTAACAAAACACTCAACTTTGACATTGATGGGATCGGATCGGAATTTTTAGTAAAGAGGAGAAAAAATAAAACGGTCATCCCGACCAGTTTTAATTCATGTTGTAATTAATCCCCAAAGTTGTTGCAACAAAACCATGGAACAGCAGTTTCAAGACCATTCAGCTCAAGACCATAACAAATGAAATGTTTTTTCAATGAATCGAAGTGAGTGGCCGCACGGACATCCAGCCGGTAGATGCACATGTTGATTGCTTAGATTACTTGCGGACTTTTGTGGCACATCAATGCAGTGGAAAAGTTTTTCTGTTTCATTTTTTTGGAGTTGAAGTTTTAGATTCCGGATGCTGGTTGGTTGGATATGTTTTTGTTTTCCGCAGAGTTTTGGGAATTTATACGTGTTTGGTATTCAAATGGTTTGATTGAGAGGAATTTTTGTCATAATGGATTTTTTTGTTTTTTGGATTGGAGTGTACCAAAACGACTCAGATCCAAACCAATTTATCATCCCCTTTAAATCAGGATAGCTTTACAATTGTTTTCCTATATTTACTCATCATTTGATTTCTTTTCCCCCATTTTGCAGGGTTGTAAAAATGTAACCAACACCAAGGTACCCTGCCTGCCCCACGAATTCCAATGTAAGGATCGCATTACCTGTCTACATTCCAGCTGGTTGTGCGACGGCGAACGTGACTGTCCCGATGGCGATGATGAGGTCCAAAGTAATTGTAAAAATCGTACATGTCGTCCCGATCAATTCCAGTGCAGCGATCGTTCCTGCATTGCTGGTCATCTGACATGTAATGGACAAAATGATTGTGCCGACAAAAGTGATGAGCTTAATTGCGGTAAGTCCAAATTCAAATTCTTTTTTCTCCTGCTTCGTAAAGCTCAATGAAATTACATCAAATTCTAATTTCCTTTCTATTATTGGTTTTGTTTTCCCTTGCTTCAGGCATTCGTAAGCAAACCGTATGCGATTCAGTAACGCACTTCGATTGTGGTGGTGGACAATGTATTCCCTTGACCAAGGTTTGTGACAAACGCAAGGATTGCCCCGATGGTGAAGATGAACCGGCCAATAAGTGTGGTATTAATGAGTGTGCCCTGGACAATGGTGGCTGTATGCATAAGTGTGTGGATCAACCGATTGGCTATCGATGTGAATGTGAAACGGGGTAAGACAAAACAAAAAACGCCTATTCAGCCATGCTGAATTGAAAATTTTCCATGCCAAATATTATTCAGCCAAGCTAAATTGAAGATTTCCTACAGAAATCTCTATTCAGCCAGGCTGAATTGAAGATTTCCTATAGAAATCACTATTCAGCCAGGCTGAATTGAAGATTTCCTATAGAAATCACTATTCAGCCAGGCTGAATTGAAGATTTCCTATAGAAATCACTATTCAGCCAGGCTGAATTGAAGATTTCCTATAGAAATCACTATTCAGCCAGGCTGAATTGAAGATTCCCTATCGAAATCACTATTCAGCCAGGCTGAATTGAAGATTTCCTATAGAAATCACTATTCAGCTAGGCTGAATTGAAGATTCCCTATCGAAATCACTATTCAGCCAGGCTGAATTGAAGATTTCCTATAGAAATCACTATTCAGCTAGGCTAAATTGAAGATTTCCTATAGAAATCACTATTCAGCCAGGCTGAATTGAAGATTTCCTATAGAAATCACTATTCAGCCAGGCTGAATTGAAGATTTCCTATAGAAATCACTATTCAGCCAGGCTGAATTGAAGATTTTCTATAGAAATCACTATTCAGCCAGGCTGCATTGAAGATTTTCTATAGAAATCACTATTCAGTCAGGCTGAATTGAAGATTTCCCATTGGAAACCCCATTCATCGCAGTTGAATGACAGATTTTCTTTTGGGAAAACATATTCAGCTGAGCTGAATTAAATTTTTAAATTGTAGAAAAACCACATACAAATTACCTAACTTTATTTTGCTCCCTGTTTACCCATTTCTCTCTCTCTCTCTCTTGTTTCGCAGCTATAAATTAATTAACAACAAAACCTGTGTGGACATCGACGAGTGCGCCGAAAATCCCGGTGCCTGTTCCCAAGTCTGCATTAATGAAATTGGCGGCTATAAATGTGAATGTATCGATGGGTATATGCGTGACCCACGCAATCACACCCGTTGTAAGGCCACCGAGGGTCATGCCTCATTGCTGTTGGCACGTCGTCATGATATACGGAAAATTGCTTTGGATCACATGGAAATGACATCGATTGTGAATAATACAAAATCAGCGACAGCTTTGGATTTCGTTTTCCGCACGGGAATGATCTTTTGGAGTGATGTGACCACACAAAGCATTTACAAGTGAGTATTTAGGGTTTTTGGAGGTGCTGCGGGGTACTGTTTAAAAATCCACAAAATTTGAAATGCCAATGAGGTTTGTGCATAATAAATGTGTGGGTGTGTTTCTGTTTATGTGTGTGAGTGTGTTGGGCGGGAATTGAATGAAAGACCACCCTGGCTTAGTTAAGCTCTCCCCACATTTGTTGTAATGTTCCGCACATACACACTTCCATGTTCATTGCTAACTGGATTAAATGAGATTTCCGTATGCCTGTCATATCAACATCCCATCCGCCACATATGGTCTATTGTTGAACTTATATCAGTACTACCTGAAATGTAAAAAAAAGTTCTCTTGATTATGGTTGATGACATTTTTGTTTTTCCCCATGGAAACCACTAGGTGGTCCACATGGTTGGGTTTTAATTGAAATTTCCAGCACGCCAAAAAAAAACTTCGTTGAGGGTAGATATTTTTAAATTAACTTATTTGTATTTATTCGGAGGGAGGGTTGTTTAGTGTGGCGCCCAACTAAACAGCTGGAAGTCGACCCTTTAAATTTGTTTGCAATCCAGCCAGGACTTTTTTGTGGCTTTTTTGATAATTACAAACGTTTAGTTGTTGTTGTAATTTAATTAAAGTCTCCCCCAAAAAATACAATTGGGGATGGTTTTAATATTCAGAGGGTCGGATAATGGATTTTTAATATAATGTAATATGTTTTACTATTCCGCTTGTTATTTTAAAAATCCATCGGATTGGATTTAAAAGTAAAACATGATTTTGTCCCTAATAGGCTTGAAATTATTAACAAAAATTTTCCTATAGCCCTTAAAGGTCGTGAATTTTTGAAAAAAAAAATATTTTCTCAAGGGTCCTTGATTGGCGTGGAGTTTTAAAAATATATTTCCAGAGTCCTTGATTGGTGTGGAGTCCTTGACAAGCAAACCATGCTTGTAAGCGAAAACTAAAAAAATATTTTTTATTTTGATTTTTAAGTCACAATTAAAACATATTAAAGCCTGTCTACGCTTATCCGTTGATTTGTAAAAAAATATAAAGGTCCTTGATAAATGTAATTCTTTTATTTTTTCCAATGTCCTTAATACTCGTGGATTTAAAAAAAATTTCCATGGTCCTTGATAGGCGAGGATTGAAAAAAAATATATTTTCCTGCGCCCTTCATAGGCGTGGATTTTTAACAAATATTTTCCATGATAGGCGAGGATTTGAAAAAATATATTTTCCTGCGTCCTTGATAGGCGAGGATTTGAAAAGATCAATTTTCATGCGTCCTTGATGGGCGAGGATTTGAAAAAAAAATATTTTTCTTGATAGGCGAGGATTTGAAAAAAAATAATTTCCTGCATCCTTGATAGACGTGGATTTTTAAAAAATATTTTTCTTGAAAGGCGTGGATTTGAAAAAATATATTTTCCTGCATCCTTGATAGGCGTGGATTTTTAAAAAACATTTTCCTTGATAGGCGAGGATTTAAAAAAATATATTTTCCTGCGTCCTTAATAGGCGTGGATTTTTAAAAAATATTTTCGAGCGTCCTTGATAGGCGTGGATTTTTTAAAAAATATTTTCGAGCGTCCTTGATAGGCGAGGATTTGAAAAAGAAATATATTTTCCTGCATCCTTGATAGGCGTGGATTTTTAAAAAATATATTTTCCTGCGTCCTTGATAGTCGTGGATTTAAAAAAAAATACTTTCCTTGATAGGCGAGGATTTAAAAAAATATATTTTCCAGCGTCCTTGATTGGCGTGGATTTTTAAAAAAATATTTTCCTTGATAGGCGAGGATTTGAAAACATATATTTTCTGCGTCCTTGATAGGCGTGGATTTTTAAAAAAATTTTTCTTGATAGGCGTGGATTTTTAAAAAATATTTTCCTTGATAGGCGAGGATTTGAAAAAAATATTTTCCTTGATAGGCGAGGATTTGAAAAAAAATATTTTCCTGCGTCCTTGATAGGCGTGGATGTTTAAAAAATATTTCCTTGATAGGCGTGGATTTGATAGGCAAGGATTTTTCAAAACTATTTTCCTTGATAGGCGAGGATTTGAAAAAATATATTTTCCTGCGTCCTTGATAGGCGAGGATTTGAAAAAAAATATTTTCCTGCGTCCTTGATAGGCGTGGATTTTTAAAAAAATATTTGCCTTGATAGGCGAGGATTTGAAAAAATATATTTACCTGCGTCCTTGATAGGCGAGGATTTGAAAAAATATATTTACCTGCGTCTATGGATTTTTAAATTGAAGTTGGGGTTTTAAAAATATATTTTCCATGGTCTTTGAAAGGCGTGGATTTCAAATATATATATATATATATATATGTATCTTCTAGAGATCCTTGATAAGCGTAAATTTAAAAAAAAGTCTATAGGTCCTTGATAAACGTTGCTTTTTAAGTCATAATTAAAAAAATATTTACTAGGGTCTCGGATAAAATATTTTTTAGAGGTCTTTGAAATTTTTTTTTGAAAAAATATTGATTTATGTTCTTGATTTGATTGTTTTTTTTTAATATTTGATGAGGAAATCATTAAAAAAGCGTATTAACAAATATGTTTTCAAAAACATCGTGAATTTTTAAAACATATTTCTCAGGGTTCTAACTAGGATTTTTCGGGATCCTTGTTTTTAAAAATATATATGTTTTTATATTACATTATAAATGTGGCCTTCAAAATGCTGGGTGTTTTATTGAGTCCATTATAAATGTGTAATCTTTAAATATGCCTTCAAATAAATTTTGAAAGTCCTTAGTAGCCAGGTTCAAGAGAAATTTCTATATGACTCGCACTGACCTGAACATTGACCCTTTTTCTACATACGTTTGTGTCAATTCCATTCTCACAAATTTCTCTAATCCTTTTTTTGTGCAAACAAATACCACTTTCCATGTGGTTTTAAGTTAATTTTCTAACATCAATCTATAAACACCCACAACACATTCACACACTCTCACACACACATAGCAATCCATGCATCCTTTTTTGTGTGTTACCTTGCCACCCGGAGAATTGCTTAATTTTTTATTCATTGTCCTTTTGTGTGTGCGGGTGTCGTATATCAATCTTTGTCTGGCCACAATTCATTTAATTCATTTTTGGTATTCCTCGTCTTCTACTTCCAGGGCACCCATTGACGAGGGCAGTGATAAGACAGTCGTACTCAAGGAGCATACCGTAACCTCAGATGGTTTGGCTGTCGATTGGATTTACAATCACATCTACTTCACCGATACACACAAATGTACCATTGAGCTGACAAACTTTGATGGTAATATGGGTAAAGTGCTCATCGAAGATGAATTGGATATACCACGGTCGATAGCATTGGATCCCATTGAGGGGTAAGTAACCACACACAGAGAGAGAGAGAAAGAGCGAGAGTATGAAAACAAATAATCAATATAATATGGATGAAGAAGAAAAAACCACAAGGACATTAAGAGGGGGAGGGGGAGTGAATAAAGTAATACCCACAACAATAACAGAGAAAAGGACAAAGCTCACCAGCCACCCAGCCAACACATCCGTTTGATTGACACTTGACATTGTGATGAAGATGAATAAGTGGTTGGCATACGACCTCAGCCGATACCAAACCCAATCTCTATTTTCCTCCCTCCCTAACTCCTAGCAAAACAAGGCAATTTTAAAGCAAAACGACTGTACAATAAAAAAAAATCTCAATAAATTGTTATGCTTTTTTTGGTTGGCCATCCCAGGACATTAAAATTGTAACACATGCTGGGGAGTTTATTTTCAGGATTCAAGATTGCAAAATTCATTTTCTTCTTCTTCTTCGCCATCTGGCCATTTTACACTCTACGCCTTATAAACCACACAATTTCATTTCCACTTTTTTCTTCGCTTATAATCTACCTTCTTCCTTTTCATATTATTCTTGTTCGTCTTCTGCTTCTCCAATTTACAGCTGGATGTACTGGTCCGATTGGGGTGCCTCACCACGAATCGAACGTGCCGGCATGGATGGCTCACATCGCACCACAATCATCAACTATGATGTTAAATGGCCAAATGGCATTACCTTGGATTTGGTGCGACGACGCATCTACTGGGTCGATGGTAAATTGAACATCATCTCTTCGGCCAATTATGATGGTTCGCAGCGTCGCCAGATTTTATACTCAACGGAATATTTACGTCATCCCTTCTCCATCACCACGTTCGAGGATAACATCTATTGGACCGATTGGGATAAACAGACCGTTTTCAAGGCAAATAAATTCAATGGTGAAGGTGTGCGGCCGATAACCGCTTTGCATATGGTGAGTAAAAAAAAAAAATTGGGTGGGGCAGAAGTATATGTATGGTATAAAATTATATAAACAGGGTCCTACAGACGGTAGTTTTTAATATTAATTTATATGTCTCCATGTAATGTTAATAAAAAAATTAATTTTTTTACTGAATCCTCTTTCCTCATAAGTTCGGATTTAAAAAAATATTAATTGACAGTAGCGGATTTATTAAAAATGTTTTTCCAAAGACCTCAGTCATGGATTTTTTAAAAATACCGTTATGGGTCCTCAATAGACGTGAACTTTTTAAAAAATATAATTTTAAGGGTCTTCTATAGGTGTGGATTTGTTTAAAAAGTATTATTCAGCTCCTCGATGGGCGTGGTTTTTTTACAAAAAAAATTGGTTCAATAATCTTGGATTTTTCAAGTAAATATTTATCAGGGTCCTTAAAAGGCGTTGATTTAAAAAAAAATATATTTTTAATAGGCGTGGATTGTTATTTTCCCTAATAGACGTGAATTTTCAAAAAAACTATTTTTCAAAGGTCCGAAATGGGCAGGAATTTTTACAATGTAGTTTCAGGGGTTCTTAATTGATGGGGAAATAAAAAATGCAAACAATCTCCTACTAGGCGCGTCTTCCCGGGTGGCGGATGGGAAGGGGGTCTCCATGATATGCAGAGTGAAACGAACCTAGGTCTCCTAGATCAGCTGTTTTCTGCACTTCGTGGAAACCTTGGGGATCTTCGGATTCGCCGTGGACCAAAATGGATCGGGGTAGTGTCCTTAAATAAATCAACTACGATGGGTAAAAGAAGTAAACAGAATAAAGTTACGGTGCAGGGAGTTAATAACCCAGTATCGGCGGCAATCGTTGGTGAGGTCACAAGCCACATGTCGTCGAGATCAAGCGATTCCGGCTGTTCTAGGTGTGGGTGCCTTGGTACCAGCAGCTGTATCTGTAACAAGTGCATCAATTCAAAACCAAAACGTTGACGAACCGGCTTTTCCTTTGGCAAATGAGCATGTCAAGAATGATGAAAATCAGTCTCTGGCTGACAGGACAGTAGTTCTGGGAGGGGACGACCTATACGGGATTCTACGCGCTATCCGCGATAGTCTAGAGGAGCAAAGTAAGAAACTCTTCGACCAGTTAGACAGACTGGTACCGGAAGAGCAATGTGGGGATACGCTTCCGGAGGAACTGCTACTGAATCTTACCCTAACTGATGGTGAGCTGGGGATCGCCGGGGTATCCCAGCCAAGTATACACAGGGGCATTGCTGTAGTAGTAACGAAGGAAGCGCAGACCCTGTTGACCGACCGACTTCCAGTCTGACTACAGCAGGTCCTGTGTCGGCACCCGCCGACAAGCTTCAGAGGCAATCTGCAACGGAGGCGATGTCCGACGATGGGTAATCTGTTGAGACCCCAGCAACGGACAGCGGCTCAAAAGTTGGGAAGGCCCGAGAAGTAGAGAAGCAAAGCATTACAAACGTGCTGTTCCGTATCTCCGCATCTCATACGTATCTCATCTTACCCTCATCAAGTGTAAGATGAAATACGTAAGGAACTTCGAAAGAATCTGTCTGCACGCTCTCCATATTGAACTCGAAATGGACAGGATCTTCCTCCCGAACCCTACTACTCGTAAAAAGTGGAAGAATCGGCGAAGCCCATTGTCTCTGAAAATGGTGCTAAGCCGACTTCTGCCTGAAACCCAGCTCGAAGCCGAACCCTAGTAAGAATGCACAGGAAAAAACAATTGAGAACATCCCGAAGCAAAATGTCACGCATAAGGGTAATCAACGTATGGAGGGCTCTGTCCCCAAGTCCGATTCTGCGCCTAACGACAAAGGTGAAGCTAAAGCTTTGGGTGGATCCAATAATGGTCGAAATAGGAAGAAGGGAAATTCAGTCAAGGAACCATTGTCTCGATTTATGCATGTCCGTCCGTCGGTCTGTCCATGTTAAATTGTAAACAAAGTACAGGTCGAATTTATGAATCGAATTGGATGAAATTTGCTTCAGCTCATTTATTTGGCCCAAGGATGAACCCTATTGAAATTGGATGAAATTGGTTCAGATTTAGATATAGCTCCCATATATATTTTCGTCCGATTTAATGTAAATGGTGCACTATAGCCCCTATATGTCCTTCGATTTTCACGAAATTTGGCATAGCGCATTGAATTAAGTCTAGAATAATGTGGGTTACATTTCCTGAAAATCGGTTCAGATTTAGATATAGCTCCCATATATATTTTCGTCCGATTTTATGTAAATTGTGCACCAAAGTCCCTAAATATCTTTCGATCTGCACGAAAATTGGCACAGCGTAATTAATTAGGCCTAGAATGATGTGTGTTAAGTTTCCTGAAAATCGGTTCAGATTTAGATATAGCTCCATATATATAGTTTCGTCCGATATAATGTAAATGGTGCACCAAAGTCCCTATATATCTTTCGATTTGCACGAAATTTGGTATAGCGTACTGAATTAAGTCTAGAATGATGTGTTTCAAATTTCTTTAAAATAGGTTCAGATTTAGATATAGCTCCAAATATATTTTTGTCCGATTTAAGGTAAATGGTGTACCAAATTAACTATATATCTTTCGATTTGCACGAAATTTGGCATAGAGTACTGAATTAGGTCCAGAATGACGTGTGACGAGTTATAGAAAATCGAGCAAGATTTATATACAGCTCCTATATATATTTCCGTCCGATCTAAGGTAAATGGGGCTCCAAAGTCCCTATATATATTTCGATTTGTACGAAATTTGGCATAGCGTACTAAATTACGTCTAGAATGATGTGTGCTATGATTCGTGGAAATCGGTTCAGATATCGATATAGCTCCCATATATATTTTTGTCCGATTTAAGGTAAATGGGTCTCCAAAGTCTCTATATACCTTTCGATTTCACGAAATTTGGCATAGAGTATTGAATTAGGTCCAGAATGACGTGTGACGAGTTATAGAAAATTGGGCAAGATTTATATACAGCTCCTATATATATTTTCGGCCGATTTTATGTAAATGGTGCACCAAAGTCCCTGAAAACCATTCGATTTGCACGAATTATGGCATAGCGTACTAAATTACGTCTAGAATGATGTGTGCTATGTTTCGTGGAAATCGGTTCAGATATCGATATAGCTCCCATATATATTTTCGTCCGATTTAAGGTAAACGGTGTACCAAAGTCCCTAAATATCTTTCGATTTGCACGAATTTTGGCATAGCGTACTAAATTAAGTCTAGAATGATTGGTGCTATGTTTCGTGAAAATTGGTTCGGATTTATATATAGCTTCCATATATATTTTCGTCCGATTTTATGTAAATGGTGGACCAAAGTCCCTAGATATATTTAGATTTGCACGAAATTTGGCACAGCGTACTAAATTAAGCCCATCCAACATTACGTAAAGTTTTTCTCTATTATTATTCATTGTTGTAATTTTTGTTGCCTTCGTTGTTGTTGTTTTTTTTTTCTTTTGTGCAGCACACCTTCAGGTGTTGAAGTACCATAAGGGTGTTAATAAATTTTACAACATGAAGTGAAGCATATTCAAAGTGATGACACACCATGGTGTTGTAACTCCATCTGCATCTCTCTCTACCTCGGTTTTTCGGACAATGACTACGTTACGAAATTAAAAGCCACTATATTTTGAGTGTGAAAATGTGTGACCATTGTTGTTGCTTTCAGCCCACTCGTTGGGTTTTTGTTGTTGTTATTGTTGCTGGTTGTCCTCAACAACATTACCACCACTACAATAATAATTCATGATTTCCTCTTCGTTGTTTTTTTTTATTGCAAGGTATCCTTTTGGGCTATCCACACATGTGAGATGGTAAATTGTGAGAGATAGTGTGTGTGTGTGTGCATGCATGCATGTGTTTAACTTTCCACATGCATCAGCTTTGATATTGAGTTGGGTAAAAAAAGTGTAACTCAAACTTGGTTGTGGTAGAGAACGTTCATACATGCGTGTGTAAATCTTGTAAATTATGAAAGATATTCTGACACCAGCTTGGTAAAAAACACTGGTCTCATATTAACGCACACACATATTCACATAATGTATATACACACATATGATGAAATAAAACTTTCCATATACACACATACATATACACTTTGTCACAAAGGACCATCAAGGATTTCCATACGCACATAAATTATGCAATAACCAGCCACGCAACACCAGAAGCATATCGGTGTGTGTGTGTGTTTGTTCGTGCGTGCATGTTTCCAGCTGCAAGCATACGTGCATGAATATATTTATGTATGTACTCATATGTATGTGTGTAAAGAAAGACAAAAACAGCCACATCATGCCAAACAGAGTGTAGTTCGACTATAAGGGAAACTACGACTACAACTGTAAATCCGTTACGCCGTTCATGTTCCACTTCGGGTTTTTTTCCATGCTGTCATTGTGACAGTAGCAGCAGCCGCAGCAAAATTTCAACATTTTCAAGGAAATGCAACAAATTTGTCGGAATTGCGTTGTTGATGTGTTCATCCTCAAGTCGACTGCGGAAAGATGCTGGGAATGGGGGTATGAATTATTATAATTTGATTTTGAGATCCAGAGAAGTACGAAGAAACTGACAAATGACGGGGTGTGGTAGGATAATATGCATACCACAAACTCACACACACATATACATACATGCATACAATGTGTATTACATATGTATGCCTCGGCACAAATGTGATTTATTTATTGGCGCCTTTAGGGGATGTTGTGGTTTACTTAAATAAAATCGGGGAATTATTTTATAACTTTGTGGGAGAAATTTTTTAACATTGAGAAAATGTGATAAGAAGAACACAACATAAAAAATAGAGACATTCTCTAGTTAGAAGGACTTCTATGGGTATTCTAAAATTGTAATACTTTGTAGAGACCACCTTCTATGATAGAATACCTTATAAACGCATTCTTCAGTTACAGATCTCTAAAGATCTCCCAATGTATTCGATCTTTCGGAGACAGAATATGG